CTTCCCCGCCTGGTTCTGTTCCTGCCTGTGGCTCCACCACCCTCCTGCTCAGAGGCAGCCCTGAGGGACCATTAGCGGTGGCTCAAGATCTTACAGAACATGAAGAAATGGGAGGAGATTCAATAATTGAAGAAGAAGACTATGAAGCTGAAGTGAAAGAAGATGAACCCACAGGTTTGGCAGAGATAAAGAAGAAGATTTATCTGGCAAACCTGCAGCCTTGTCAAGTGCAGATACAACTATCCTGTTTGTGAAAGGAGAAGATTTCCCAGAAATAATATGAAGTTCCTGGTAGGCTTCACAAACAAGGGTACGGAAGACTTCGTTGTTGAGTCCCTAGATGCCTCCTTCCACTATCCTCAGGAAGAGCAGTACTATATCCAGAATGTCACAGCCCTTCCTCTCAACACTGTAGTGCCATCAGAGAGACAGGTGGATTCTGAGTACACCTTCAAAGTACACCTGCAAAGGCTGGATGACCCTTTGGTCTAGTCATCAACCTGAACTACACAGATATGAACAGTAATGTATTCCAGGATGCTGTCTTCAATCAAACAGTAACAGTTATTGGAAGAGAGGATGGGTTAGATGGAGAAACAGTGGATAGGTTAGATGGAGAAACAATCTTTTTGTATATGTTGCTTGCTGGTCTTGCTACTGGCTGTTGTTGACATTCATCATCTCCTAGAATCTAGAAAGTGCAAGAGACTTGGGTACATCTAATCAGAATGAGGTTGCTATGAGTTGGATCCCTCAGGAAACTTTAAATCAAATCAATATAAAGCTTCACTGAGAAGGTGGCCCAGGAAACAGGCACAGAAGAGGTCAGTGGGACCTGATGCGAAAATGTTCCTTTGTGCAACAATTCAGTCTGCTTAATGTGTCTCAGCCTGATGAGAGTTAATGCAGGGAAGCCATATCACCAGAGAAGATGCCTACCACTTATGTGTGGACTGAACAGTCTATTGCAATAATATTGCTGAAAGAGCACAGCATTTGTTTTTCTTTTTGCATTTGTTTTTCTAAAGTAACAAATTTGGGGGTTTTTTAGACCTTTAAAATCTATGAATGTGCATGTGTAAAAAAATTTAACATGAAAATATCCTTTGATCAGTATTCTATTCCATATGTTGTTGTTGTATACCGCTGAGTCAGACTGACTCACTGCTGACCCTTCTGTCCGTTTTCAGAGGCAGTTAATCCCACATGACGAGACTGTCCATCCTTCTCCCACAGAGCAGTTGGTGTATTTGAACCATGTGGCTTCAGGATTGCAAAGCAACTTCTTGCCACTAGGCCACCAATGTTCCCTCTAATCTGTCTTCCTTGCTGGGGTGAAAAGAGACATCTGTACTTAGGTCATGTTCACACTTCCGTACAAGCCATTGGTCTAGAACAAGTTCATGGGGTTTATGCCACAGCTCACTATCACTTTAAAGCCCTTGAAGGTTTTCCATATGGAGCATTTCTGCATGGAGTCGTCGATCTTGAGGACTCAGCTCTGTTGCAGTTTGATCAGGAGTTTGTAATCCTTTCCTTAAAGCTCTTCTGGGATTCAGGGCTATTAGGCCAGTGAGCTCTTCAGTCCAGGTGCAGAGCTCCACCTCCTTCCTATTTGGACAGGGGATGATTGTTGGCCTTCACTGAGAACCTGTACCAAAAACCCTGAGCTGTGCCAAGCTTAAAGGATTGCAGCAATGGCTAGCAGAGTCAGTGCAAAGGATAGAACAGGCTACAATGTAATTTTTAGATAAAATAAGAATGAAGTCAAACACATCAGGGCCTTGGATCTCCATTCCAGCTTGTAAGGGAGAATGAAGTTCAAAGAGCTCATCCAAGGGAAGTTCTCAGATTCCTATTCTATCTCACATAGAGTTACCATGAACAGATTAATGGCATCTAAATCTTAGTGTGATTTATGATACCTAAAGCAAAGACTGAAGTTGTCAACAACCTTATTTTACTTGGCTCCACAATCAACAGCCGTGGTAACAGCAGTTAAAAAATCCAAAGACATACTGCATTAGGAAAACCTGGTGTTAAGGATCTTTCCAAACTGCTAAGGAGCAAAGATCTCAGTTTAAAGACTAAGGTGTGACTTATCCGAGCCATGTTTTTGTTGTCATTAGGCTAGTGTTACAGCGGATGTGTCAGTCCACCCTGTTGAGGGTCTTCCTTTCTTTCCCCCTCCACTTTCCCCAGCATGATGTCTTTATCCAAGGACTGGTCCCCTCTAACAACATGCCCAGAGTACGTGAGACAAAAATTTTATCATCTTTGGCTCTAAGAAGTACCCTGATTGTACTTCCTCTGAGACAGACATATTTGTTCTTTTGGCAGCCCATGGGATATTCAGTACTCCAACTTCACAATTCAAAGGCATCTATCCTTCTGTCATCCCTACTCACTGTCCAAGTTTCAGATACATAGGTAGAAGCTGAAATGCCATGGCCTGGATCAGATGCACCTTAGTCCTTGCTCTGATATCCTTGTTCTTTTGAATTTTGGTGAGGTTCTTGACAGCAGATTTTTCCCAATGCAACACATCTTTTGATTTATTGCCTATTGCTATCCTGGGTGTTGGTTGTGGATCCAAGTAAATGAATTGCGTTCTATTTTTTTTTCCTGTGACCTGATTGGAGTGATGAGAACAGGGGGAACATGCCTCTGAGGTGGTGTCTAGTCTTCACTAATCTACCTCAGCTCAGCTCTTTACCTGAGGTTGTGCTAAATATTAGATCACTCTCCTGAGCTGGAGAGTTAGCTGTTAGCCTTCAAATCCCTTCCCAATTCAATGAGTAGCCTACAGCCTTCATTTTATGTTCTCATTCCTCCTGTTCTTTATGGGCAGTTCAAAGTAAAAACCATAACAATTATGTTGTTATTGAGAGGAGCTCAGTCACTTTTGGCTCACAGTGAACCTAAAACTAAATGACCGCCCTCCCACCCCCAGTCCTGCACCATCCTTAATATCATTGCTGCAGTCACTGTTAGAGCCACTGTAACAAACCGTCTTATTAGGGGCATTCCTCTTCCTCACTGACCCTATAAAATAATAATGCACACATGGCTGTTCCTCTTCAGATCTGAGGGCTTAAGAGGAGAAGTCTTCGGATTTTCTTTTTGCCATTTCAGTTCAAAATTGGGAAGGGCGCTCCATACATTTTCAATCTGTATGCAGAACAGATCATCCGGGATGCTGGGAGAAAAGTGGCATCAGGATTGGTGGAAGATTTGTCAACAACCTGCGTTATGCAGATGACACAATCCTCCTTGCTGAAACTGAGGAGGATCTGAAGCACTTGCTGCAGCCTTTAACACGGACTGAAGCTCAACATCAAGAAAACAAAGATTCTCACCACTGAGCCAATTGGCAGCATCAGTATGGGTGGTGAAGAGATTTAAATAGTTAGCAGTTTTAGTTTACTTGGTTCCACAGTCAACACTCTTGGTAACAGCAGCCAGGAAATCAAGAGACGAATTGAATTAGGAAAGTCAGCCATCAGGGACCTCTCTAGAGTACTGAAGAGCAACGACATCAGGCTGGCGACTAAGATGTGCCTGATCTGGGCCATAGTCTTCGCAATTGCATGCAATGCATCAGACAGCTGGACAGTGAATAGGGATGACAGAAAGAGAATTGATGCCTTTGAGCTGTGGTGCTGGAGAAGAGTGTTGAATATATAATGGACTGCTAGGAGAACAAACAGGTTCATCCTGAAGAGGGTAATGCTGGACTGCTCCTTGGAGGCAAGGATTCTGAAGCTTCTTCTGACATACTTTGGGTATTTTGCAAGGAGAGACCAATCCTCGGAGAGGAACGTCATGTTTGGGAGAGTGGAGGGATGGCGAGGAGAGGAAGACCCTTGATGAGATGGATTGATTCAGTGATTGGGATGGCAGGAGTAGGTGCGTCAGAGACAATAAGGTTGGCAGAGGATAGAGCACGGTTAAGGGCCATTGTACATAGGGTCACTGTGAGTTGCAAGTGACTCAACGGCACATAACAACAACAACAACATAGCGTATTATATGTTGGGCTGCTAACCTAAAGCTTATAAGTTCAAATCCACCAGCCACTTCTCAGGAGAACAATAGGCAGTCTCCTCCAGTAAAGGTTTATGGCCTTGGAAACCCAGCTGAACATTGCTGTGGGTTGGAACTGGCTCAAGAGCAGTGGGTTTGGGTTGGAGTTCATATTAGTTTGTTTCCCTGTCCTTTCTAATTGTTGCTTGTCCTGTTTGGACTGGGGCTGGGTCTAATTTTTGCTCCGTTAGTTAGAAATTGGAAGAAGAGCATTTCTGCCACTTTGTTCAGTTAGTTCTCATCCTGAAAATCACTCCCAAACGGATCTCCCTGGTGGTCCCCCTCCTGCCCCAGCAAAGCCCTCTCCAGTCCCGCACAGATGCACTATGCGCTCTCTCTACCTTCCCTCTGCCTCTACAGATGGATGGCCTGTCCCGTCAGTTCCCTGCTAGGACCCCTTCTGCTGCAGAACCCTCTCTGCCTTCTGTCTCTCTTCTCTGAGCTTGTCTACAGCTCATCCAGCTGTAACATACGGCTTAGGCTTTAATTATATGTTGTCTGTAGTGGTTTGCTGTTGGCTCCCATAAGCACGTCTGCCCCGTGAGTCAGGCAGGTTGGGTCCTGGGGAGCAGGGGCTTAAAAGCAGCCTCGGACTTGAGTATTCCTGACACCAGGCTTCCCTCCTGGAGCTTAGTGGGTGCTCGCCCGCTGGGGCCTGCGCCTGGGTCACTAGCCTCCCTTTTCGGTAGAAAGCCAAATGGTATGGGCTGTGGTCAGTCCAGGTCTGCTATGTGGTGGCTTCCGGAACTGAGACGCAGCCTTTATGTTTGCCCCCAGAGACAAAGAGCCGGACCACTGAAGTCACTCTGTCCACGCCGCTGCCTCCACCTTCCTGCTCAAGCCACCGTCTGCTTCCCATCCCCGGGCCCTGATGCTGCGGGCACCCCTCTGACGTGTCTCTCCTCCCCACACAGGCATCTTCATAACAACCGCATCCAGCATCTGGGGACCCACAGCTTTGAGGGGCTGCACAATCTGGAGACTCTGTGAGTGTGGGGTTGTGGTCGAGCTCTGAGTCGCCTGGTGACGGAAGTCTGGAGTCCTGGGGTTGGGTGGGGGGCAGTGTGTGTGTGGGGGGGGTGGGCAGAAGGAAGGGCCCTCCGGTCAGGGGTGCTGGGATCTGGCTCCCGGCCCGCTCACCCACACACTCCCTCCCTGGCACCTTCGTGGAATGTCGCTAAGAATTAATTCCTTCCCTTTTAGATGGGTGGAATGTACCCTTTGGGAGTTCAGGGAGTGGGAACCTGGGATCCCTGCCTGGCAGAGACCACCAAACATAATGCAGCATTTGGACAGAAATGAAAACTGTAAAGAGAAGTTCAAGGAGTTAGGCTATCAAGCTTGGGGAAAAGCGAGCTGGGGATGAGGCTGGGACAGACTTGATGGCAGTTTTGACAACAGTTTAAGGGTGGCTGCTGACAGAAGGGAGAGTAATACCACAGAGCGATGCCAGGCTGCTTGCCAGTGGATCTAACTAGCGAAGTGATTAATGGGGAGATGACCCGTTCGGCGCTCTGGCCTGGCTATAAAAAGCACCCAAGCTGTTGACTCTTAAAGAGCTGCATTATTCACACATCATCATCCTGGAATTCAGCACCCAAGCCCTCCCATCATTTCCTCTGGACTCCCGCCAGCCCCCCCAGAGTGGGCTGAGTGGGCCCCACTTGAGCAAACAACTGGCTGTGCTCTCCACAGTGTGGCCGTGCCAGCTGGGGTCCCTCAGCTCCCACGAGGGGGCTAGCTGCCACGGCCACCTGGTACGGTGCTGGGAGGCAGTTCAGGGAAAGGAAGACCTCCAGTCACCAAGTCTGAGACGCTGAGGTTGGGCATGAGGGTGGTGTCCAGGGGAGGATCATGGTTCCTCTTGTCCTCCTGGCACATGCCTGGCCCCCACCCGTCGCACCTCAACCCCAGAGCGTGGTTCCTGAGGTGAGATGCTTTCAAGAATCGAAAGCAGCAGAGGAGCAAAGCTGTGACCTGAGTGAGGAAGCAGCATGTTGGGAAAACCACTTGGCTCAATCTATCCTTTAAGCCCCAGTCATCTGCATTTTTGGTTGTGGAGGGAAGCGGGATGGGGAGCACGAGACCAGAACTCTGTTCCTCTTTCCTGTGGGGGGATCTTCAGGATCATGGCTGCTCTCAGGGTTCAGCCTGAAGCAGATGCAGCAGCAGAGGCTCTCTGCGTCCTCATCCTTCAGCTGACTCAGTGCTGGGCCAGTACCCCAGCCCCGAGTCAAGGAAAAGAGAGCCTTCCTGTGTGTGACTTGGGCCCTGGGCTCCCATCTCAGGCTCTCCCCGAGGTTAAAGCTGGACAGTCCAGCCCTGGACAGAGGTTAAAGCTGGACACTCAGTCAGTCAACATATGAGAAGACCGATTGATGTCCAGGGAGACAGCATGTCCTGGGAAAGAGCAGACTTGGAGTGTATTAACTGAGAAAAACACGTGACGGTCAATAGTATAAAGCTCTGCTTTCCTCAACCTTCTGGTGGAACACAATCCAACTACGTGAGTCTACTCTGGGGTGATGCGATGGTTAAGCTCTCAGTTGCTAACAGAGAAGTCAGAGGTTCAAACCCTCCCAGGAGCCCCATGGGAGAAAAACATGACAAACTGTCCCCATAAAGATTATAGTGTAGAAATCCCTGCTGGGCAATTTTGTTCTGTCACACTCGGTCACTGTGAGTCCAAATTAACTTGACAGCATCCAGTAATAGTAGTAACGGGGAGCTCTGGTGGCCTAGTGGTAAGAAGCTGCACTGTAATCCCAAAAGCACCTGGTTTGAATCCACTAGCTGCTTCGCGGGAGAGGGGTGGACCATCTCCTCCTTAGCGATTATCTGCCTCTCAAAATCCATGAGGCAGTCAGCTATGAATCAGTTCTGACTCAGTGGCACACAACAACAACCATAAATGATAGTAGTAAGTTTGTTCTAGGTGTTGGAGGAGCCTTAGAGAAGGATATCATGCTTGGAAGGGTGGTGGGACAGCGCAGGCAAGGAAGACCTTGGATGAGATGGAGCAACACAGTGACTGGGGCAATTGGAGCAGGGGTGTCAGAGACAGTGAGACTGACTCAGGACAGGGCTACTGTACATAGGGTCACTCAACAGCACATAGCAACAACAACAACCACAAGATGCCCTCAAAAACCCCGTGTCCACAGCCACCCTCTCTCTCAAGAGTGCTTAGGGTGGTGGTAAGAGTCTACAGACAGCAGCAAAGCAGGAAGGAGTCCAGGGTTATCAGCCAGAAGTGTGGGGGCTGTTAGCTCTGCTGGGAAATCTCGTGCCGAGGGGGCAAAGAGAGTGGCTGTGAGTTGCCAGCTCTAGAAAGCCAACCAGCAGCTGTTTCTTCACTTTTGGGGCACGCTGCCTAATTCTTTCTCAATTAGCGGCTGGATTGCTGTGCAGGGCATTTGGCTCAGCTGGTGCTGGCTTAATTACAGAGCAGCCTGCCGCTTAACACCCAGTGTACCTCCTTTCATCTGCCGGAATGCCTGGCTGGGCCGCACACAGCCCAGGGCCTGCACCCACTTCACAGATGGGGTAGCCAAGGCTAAGAGAAGTGGGGGGAATTATCCTCACTGTACACTTACTCTGTGAAGGCAGAGCAACTGGGCAGTAAAGCGAAAGCAGATAAGAAGCCCTTGGCACCTGACAGCCTGGGGTGTAAGGCCAGGTCTACCAGCTGTGTGACCTTGATCAAATCATTTGCCTCTCTGAGTCTCAGTTTCCTAATCTGCACCATCACACCACTAATAATACCAATTTTGCAGGGTTAGCAGGGGGCATTAAATGCTGTGATACGTGCAGAGTTCTTATCGAGCCCAGCAAGCTGTGTTAGGAACCTGCCTTAGCTCTTTCCCCAACTCCCTCTGCCCCCTCAACCCCAGCAACACCCTTCATTCCCCACCCTTAAGGGGTAAGTTTTCCTTCCAACTTTTGATCTCCAATTAAAAGGGGGGAAAGAGCTGTTCTTTATCCTCTATCCCCAAGAGTACTTGCTAAGAGGCCTGCAGGGGCAGCCAGATGGGGGGCTGGGGGAGGAGTGGCAGGGAGAATAAAAGGAAAAAGCAACAATAGTCAAACCTTTTAATTGTTGCATAATTGGCACGCTTTGCCTCCCGCCCCAGTTATTACTCTGGAGCTTTTCATGTGAGCTTCTCACTGGAAGGGTATTTCTCCCTCAGGCTCTGTAAATCTCTGCCACTTAGACCTCTCTCATCTCCAGCAGCAGAGGGAAGATCAAACCCCCGCAGCCCAGGCTGTGGTTTGGCTCCATCTGCAGACTCCTCTCAGGAGCAAGAGCCGGCACCCAGCCATTCCACCTGGGGAGGAGGACCGGCTCGGGCACACACTCCGCGGTCCCGTGGGCAGCCCACGGGCACATGCTCTTCACCTCACCGTCAGCACAGCCCAGGGACGTGGCTCAGGGATGCCCACTGCAATTACACACACTGCAGTGTCCTCTGTCCTTGAGGCCTGCCTTCTTCCAACTTGGCTATGCAAGCTGGGCAGCCAGAGCAAGGAACCTCATTCCTGTGAGCCTTACTCTTCTGGCCTGTACAATGGGTCACCTCACAGAGTGAGGCATGGGTGAGAGACACATGGACCCTTTTTCCACTCTGAACAAGTACTACTGGTTGCCAGTTGCCTCGACTCCCAGTCACGGTGATCCAAGCGTGTCAGAGCAGAATTGTCCTCCAAAAGCTTTTCAGTGGCCGATTTCTTCCAGAAGTCAGTCACCAGGCCTTTCTTCCAAGGCACTTGCAGACAAACTTGAACCTCTAACCTCTGGGTAGCAGTCAAATGCATTAACCATTTGTGCCAGGGATTCCACACTAAAAGATCCAGTCAAATCCAAAAGGGCTAGGCAGGGTTTGAGGCTGGCCACTGCTGGATCCTCTCTCTTGTGGAGGGGAATAAACCAGGTAGACCCCATATGCACAAACTTAGCGGCACTCTTAGGAAGCTGATGGTGCCAAGAGGAGCATCTGGGGGCAGCCTGGCCCCGTAACCTGTTTCTCCTGATACAGTCCCCACCCCTCTAGACTTGCAGCAAAAACTTCACTCAGAGGCAGTCAGGATTCACAGTATCCTGTATCCTTGCCTCCTTTCCACTCCCACAGTGAGGGGAACCCATCCCATGTGGGGAAATTCTGAATCAGAAGTGGGCCAGCCCCAAGTCTGTGCAGTATTATCTCCTCCACTTCCCACGTCAGACCAAATTCAGAGATGTGTGATGAGTCGCCCAAGTGTTTGTAGCTTGTGAGTGGTGATTGCTGCTAGACCCTACACCCCCGCCTTGTCGTACACTCAGTGCTGGCTACGCAGCGCACCCAGCGACAGGCCTTCCCAGGCATCTCTCCTGCGTCTCTCATTGCCCTTGAGTCGGAATTGGCGCATAGATGACCCTCCACTGAGTCTACAAGACTGAAAACCGCAGGGGAGGAGACTGTCCATGTTTCTTTGACTGAGCCACCCTTTGGGGGATTCGAACCACCAGAGAGGCACTGCATTTGGGTTTGCAGCACAGCCGCCTCATGACCTAAGTCACCAGGTGGAGAAACAAGAAAATGCATAACCTCCGATAACTCTGGGAAGGAGAAATGTGGACCTGGGAGGAGACCTGACAGGCTTGGAACCAGGCACTGGTGCGTAGCTCAGGGCTCAGAAAGGCAATCTCAGAGACCTCTCGGAGCTCTCCCAACCTGACAGCTGGCTTTGCAGCTGCACCTGACGCTCCTCAAATCCCCAGCTCTGCCTAACAATACAAAGTAAATACCTGTACAAGGTACATAAACAAACAAGCCAAGACAAGAAGCCTAACCATGCCATCCCAAGGGCCCATCCCCACCTCGTCAGTGTGAGAACCTAATGCCCCCATTTGGGCTAGAACTCGTTGGCACAGGGTTTACAGTGGGTCTGGGGATGACATGGGTCCCAGACCTACGATCAACCTTGCTATAACCTCCTGAAGCATATG